TACGTCATCAAAGTAAGATATCCCTGCTAGCTGTGAGCTTTGCAGATGACTGATTGCGAGGCGGGAAGAGGCCTGCATCCCGTCCCGAGGTAGATTCTAGAAGACTCTCCTCACTTTTTGTAGCCACCTCGCAATCATTCACCCCCGCCTGACATGAAGAATGAAGGAATGACTAGTGCACCACAAATGCATCGCATGTATCGATTTGGACGTCACAGGGATCCATAATAAGATCAGTCAATATGAGGACCAAGGGGTTGGGGCGTCGGTTAGGGGAGGGGAAACAAACTGAACATTTGTGCCCAAACCTGAAGCGGAGGCTTGTCGGCAGCACTGCCACTAATTTAAAGGATGTAATTAAAAAAGACCGCCTACAGCCAAAAGGGGTCTGAGCACATTATTCCAATGCCACCTCTACAATCACCATAATTCCACCTCAAGAACAGCAGACCAGGTTTCATATGTTGCAAATATATTGAGCATTTATCAACCACTAGGTCAGTTTTCAGAATGCATTTCAAGAATGAATCGCAGAAGACCTTTCAATAGATAGCAATGGCATCACTTTCATTAAAGCCTCTGCAATCCCTCGCCATCAGTGCTTGAATTGTAACCTTCAAGAACGAAATACTGAAGAGAAGCTTCATGAAGTGACGCAAAATAACCTGTTGTAAAGACTCAAAGCTCATCCAAACCAATCCTCTAATGACGCAGTGGACGACATGTAAGGGGAATTCAAAGCACAGCAACTAAAAGGCTGAGGTCTCGAATTAGGCTAGAGAAACAACATCCAGTCAAACAGTTGCGAAGCCAAAGATTCAAATATTGCTGGTCGGACTCAACACTTCCCATCAAATGGATTCAGGACGATCTATTTGCACATGTTCGACGAGTCACTAGTGGTAATGAGGTCAAGTAAACGAATCATTCGGAGAAAAGAACCAGAGCTCTAGTGAAACCCTACCAAGAAAGTCAAAGGCGACACTCAGTATGGCATCCGTAGAAACAGCTTAATACATTCGCAGCAAAGGTACATTTGATCACGACACCCCAGCCATTGCATTTACAATGATGACATCAATTGAGGTTATTTGTTTGGGTCTTCCCGATTCCTACTCAAAAACCGGAAAATACGATTATAAGCTTAACTATTTGAACATAAACAATCGACGCAATCCATGAGCTCAA